TACTTTTACAGTTCAATACAAATATTCTCTCAATGTGCAATCCTTTGGGTGTCCATGCTATAAATTTCCAATGGTTTAAATTAAGAATGTACATTTGTCCCTGAATTTGAGTAAAACATTTATGGGTCATGGCAAGTGGATCTTGACATGGAGATGAATTACTTCGAGAAAACGGGCATTTGATTTCAATTACACCAGTCCAAATCACAATTGGTTAATCCATCTGGTGAAGCTCCAAGACAAGGGTGCTCAAGATGTATTTGAAATCATGTTGGCTGAATGTAAAATATTCATCAACAGCCTCCTTCTCATGAGCAACCCCAATCTTTTTCACAGAGGATTACGAAAATCTTCTAATCTCTCTGTAAAAGATGACTGCATTCAACATGTAGCGTCACAGCATGCGGCGTCAAACATCGCCTCAGTAGTAATATAGTGTTAGTGTTACTTACTACTACATTGACTGAAAGCTTTTGGCTTTTTAAAATTTATATTATGGATTGTATCGCCAGTAACCTGAAAATATTATTTAAAACCAGCGGCTGCCAGGCAGTATACGCCCACATTTTCGAGAGATGGATAGAGAACAAGCTAACAAGAAAGTGATTTTTCCTACAATCAAGGGCCATAATTCAGGAAATTACAATTCGATATGCGCATATATCGAAAGGAACTGAGATCTTTGTGTTATAAACTTATATTTCAAGTTTCAACAAAATCGGATAAAAATTGTGACCTCTATAGGGTCCACAACCTTGATATACCATATTTTTACGCTATTTGAGAACGAACGGCGGCCATTTTGTCTGTCAATTTTGGGGCGATTTTCACAAAATTCAAACTCAACTGTCCTTAGGGTGGAACGGTAATATAATAATACGGTTTTTTAAATCGGATAAAAATTATGACCTCTAATGGGTCCACAAGCTAAAAACATGATTTTTCGTACAATCAGGGGCCATAATTCAGGAAGTTACGGTCCGATATGGGCAAATATTGAAAGGAACCGAGATCTTTGGGTTATAAACTTATATTTCAAGTTTCAACAAAATCGGATAAAAATTGTGACCTCTATAGGGTCCACAACCTTGATATACCATATTTTTACGCTATTTGAGAATGAACGGCGGCCATTTTGTCTTGTCAATTTTGGGCCGAGTTTCATGAAATTCAAACTCAGTCGTCCTTAGGGTGTAACGGTGATATAATAATACGTTTTTTTAAATCGGATAAAAATTATGACCTCTATAGGGTCCACAAGCTAAAAACGCGATTTTTCGTACAATCAGGGGCCATAATTCAGGAAATTACGGTCCGATATGCGCGAATATCGAAAGGAACTGAGATCTTTGGGGTATAAACTTACATTTCAAATTTCAACAAAATCGGATAAAAATTGTGACCCCTATAGGGTCCACAACCTTGATATACCATATTCTTACGCTATTTGGGAACGAACGGCGGCCATTTTGTCTTGTCAATTTTGGGCCGATTTTCACGAAATTCGAACACGGTCATCCTTAGGGTGTAACGGTGATATAATAGAATGTTTTTTTAAATCGGATAAAAATTATGACGTCTATAGGGTCCACAAGCTAAAAACGTGATTTTTCGTACAATCAGGGACCATAATTCAGGAAGTTACGGTCCGATATGCACGAATATCGACAGGAACCGAGATCTTTGGGTTATAAACTTACATTTAAAGTTTCAACAAAATCGGATAAAAATTGTGACCCCTATAGGGTCCACAACCTTGTTATACCATATTCTTATGCTATTTGGGAATGAACGGCGGCCATTTTGTCTGTCAATTTTGGGCCGATTTTCATGAAATTCGAACTCAGTCATCCTTAGGGTGTAACGGTGATATAATAGAACGGTTTATTAAATCGGATAAAAATTATGACTTCTATAGGGTCCACAAGCTAAAAACGTGATTTTTCGTACAATCAGGGGCCATAATTCAGGAAGTTACTGTCCGATATGCGCGAATATCGAAAGGAACTGAGATCTTTGGGTTATAAACTTACATTTCAAGTTTCAACAAAATCGGATCAAAATTGTGACCTCTATAGGGTCCACAAGCTAAAAACGTGATTTTTCGTACAAACAGGGGCCATAATCCATGAAGTTTCGATCCGATACATGCCAATATCGAAAGCAGTCGAGATCTTTTGGGGATACAGCTATATTTCAAGTTTCGTCGAAATCGGATAAGAATTGTGACCTGTAGAGAGTCCACAAACAATTGTGGACGGACGGACGGACAGGGGCGACGGCATAAACTACTAGCCCCCCCAAATTAAGTTGATAAAACACTGTCCCTACCAGTGTTACCTGGCTTGACAAAACAAATTATCCAAGCAAGAAGAAACCACTAAATGTGAAAAAAAAAACCAATACTTTAATGAAACAAGTGCTGACATGAATTTAGTATTTACATTAAGTGCAATAAAATATGATCATGAATCTTCACAAATATTTTATAGAATTATAATTTAGCATAAGTAATCGTAGGCTTTATACTCTGCAATTAGAATGTTAATTAATGAGTTGCTTTCCCTTACTAAACTTGAGTCAGAAACAATTCCCTTTGCCCAAATCCTGGACAAAACAGAACCCCTTAGTTATAATTCTTACCAGAATAAACTAAAATAAGTAAATATTAATCCTGACTATTGTATTATAGTAAACAGCCAACTCACCATAAAAATGCACCTCCTTGATTATCAGACTAGATATAATGGGAAAAACTCTTATAAAACACTAAATTAGTTTACAGATCCTTCCCCTTTGAATTCCAAAATTGGTCTGGCGGTTCTCGAATTCCGCGCGCTATTTGCCTTACATAGACCCACCGATTCCAACGACGTTGGAATTTCTTGTGGAATAATGTTGGAAAGGTTGGAAACTGTGGGAAGTATTCCACAAAATACAAGACAAGGATGGAAAATACATGTATGAAAAATATATTAAAATACAAATTGCTTTTAATAATATAGAATACAATAGCTGTTGAAATATAAAACAGTAATGAACTAACGCTTGTGATATAATTAAGAGATTACGGCCGGCAATTTTTAAAGTTCGCCGTAACTATGAAGGTTGCTAAGCGTTGATCGAGACTACCGGAAGTATCGTGCGAAAATGTAAACAACAATGGCCGCGCTCATGATATCAGAGCGAATTGTTATAGAAAATGAAGTGTCAAGCCGTTAATATATAAAATCAGAGGAAAATATGACATACGGGTTATTGCGATGTTAGAATACTAACGAATATAAATATACCACAAAATAACAGGCATTGACTTAGATATAGATCGTAATCTCAGGTTGGTTTGCAAGTCTACATACAATAACGAAAAAGTAACTCAACAACAAGTGACTAAGGAAACATGGAAAAGCTGGTTGTCACAAGTTGACTTAATGAAAGACCTTATGATACAGCGAGCACGCGCTAACCATTCTGCCCCCCCCCCCCCCCAACAACAACCGTAGAGTTGCTCTGCCAGTTATATCAAATCAGGTTCATAAATTCAAAGGGAAGATAAGAGTAATTTGTCAGACAAACCAGTAAAACTAATCAATAAAGTAGGGTCAGATATTTAGCAAAAGGGCGAAATGGTTCTTTAAGTTTAACTCGTACATGGTTTTATATATTTTTAAGCGATAGAAAAGGGAATATATACAAATAAGACTTTCGTTTACATATAGCCCTATACATATTAAATTTAATAGATTCATTAACAACTACTTGATCTTGTGTAAACACAATTTATTATGATTAAACATATACCTTATCGCGTTATCAGTAATTGAACAGTGAGCAGTCGCCCAAATTTTACTGAACAGAAGTTTATGACCACAACCATGATCGTCCACGTTAAGAATAGATTGGGCTAATGAAGATGGTCATATGCCATACAATGTACAATAAGGGAACTTTTGCCCGGACAGCGGCGCTACGGACTACTCTTATATCGAATTCCAACTGCCAAGTGCTCTTTTACGTGCACGCCAATTCGTACATGCGACATCTTATTTTTACCCATCCGAACAACTATACGTAATCCCTTGTCAGGCACTCTGTCCCGCAGTACTGACAAGGGGGAACCACGCCGGAAAATCCCGATCGATCCTCTAGGCTACCGAGCCAACGTTATACTCACTGAGCCACCACGGGTCCCCATGGACACATGACCCCCGATAAACAATATAAATGGTCTGACCCAAGAAAACCTCTGGACTTTACCAGCCCCATTGTCATAAATGCTTGTGAGAGCTGGAGCTGAAGGGTTTACATAGTTGAAGACGAGTGGACAGAAACATCTGAACACTGCAAATGGAAGGATGTCGATCATTACTCTTAAAATAACCCATTCCCAATTCAATAAATTCAGGCTTGCGTCTAGAACAGTTTTTCAGTGAGCTTTATCAAGTTACAATCCTGGGAGTTCTAACAAGAAGCACTTGGAGGAAGCTAAATGGTCTACATGGGTCGTGAAGTCGAAATCAAAATTTCGCCTCCAATAATGGTTTCGGCATGCTCTAAAATGTTCATATCAAGTTTGTATCTGTTGCGTAACTGGTTTTTTATGTAGTTGATAATGATTATCCAGTATTTTTGGCCAAGTCAAATAATGGTTGCTTCCCTTGCCGAAATAAATCCCATAGTCCATGCATTATTATAAACAAACGTGACGACGGATTAGGATTAATTAAAAACCATAGATATGGTCGATGAAGAGAAAAAATTTACAATAAAAAAATAAGAATGTTGGGTATTCTGAAATGGCAATTCTTAAATTAATTTCATGGGCGTTGACATCTTGTTCTAGGGCTAGTTACGTCTCTTGGACTTTGTTCATGATAATGTAAAAGACCGGATCATCTAGCCAACGACCTATTATTCTCAAATGTTGATAACACATGATGGAGACGATATAGTTTCGTGTGCACGCATATCCAGCAGTTTTAAAAATAGTTCACTGATAGTCTCGCAACTGTATAAGAATTGAACCTCTTTTAAAACAATGTAATAGAAGTTCCAAAATAGCTCTGCGTAGTTTGTTTTACGCCAAGCGTTCACAAATTGAGTAACAAAAGTGAATACGGATTATTTTATGTGGACATCTGATCTGTGAATGTTCTGCTAAAGCCATATTTTCGAGTTAATGGGATTTTAAACGTCAGTATTAAGAACGACTTCAGGACTGAAATACAGAAAGATGTCAGTAAAGGCGACGGAAGTAGATACGGTTCTCAATGTATTGGGAGGAAAGGGATTATATCAACATGTTCATCATCTCCTTATCGTTTTATGTTCCTTTTCAGCCGCTTTTCAACTGTTAGATATGATATTTATTGGTAGGTGGTGTATTTTACAAATTGTAGTATAAATATCTATTCTCTTCCATTTGAGGACAATCAATCGATTAGAGACATGACAAAACACAGACCCCAAACACTGTATCAGAATTATTCTAAGTCGAAAATTTTGTGGAATGTGGTACCACACAGGCTTATAAGGGGCCCCGAGGAGAAATTTTGGAAAATTTCTTGTGGTGAAAAACACCACAGACCCAAAACACTGTATCAGAAAATCTTGTGGAATGTATTTATTTACAGAAATCTAATTTCTTGTGGAACTCTTAATTTCACTGTATAAGGTCATAATTTTTATCCGATTTGGTTTAAACCCACAGTTCTCGATTCCTTTCGGTATTCGCGCATATCGGACTATAACTGGGGGATCACGTGGCTAAGTGGGTAAGACGCTGGCTCACTAGCCTGGAGGTCGGGTGTTCGATCCCTGCATTGGCCGAGAAAATTCATCCAGATTTTCCGGCGTGGTTTCCCCTTGTCAGTGATGCAGGACGGAGGGCCTGACAAGGACAGCTGTCTAGTCATTCGGATGAGACGAAAAACCGAGGTCCCGTGTATACATTGGAATGCACGTAAAAGATCCCTTGGCAGTTGGAATTCGATATAAGAGTAGGCGATAGTGCCGCTGCCCGGGCAAAATTTCCCTCATAGCACACTGTATGGCGTATGCCCGTCTTCATTAGCCCAGGTTAGGAGCAGAACAGTAGGACGTTAAACCCCATTTCATTTCATTTCATTTCGGACTATAACTTCCTGAATTATGGCCCCTGATTGTACGAAAAATCGTGTTTTTTTAGCTTGTGGACCCCTCATTCGTAAATAGTGTCAGAATATTGTGTATCAGGGTTGTGGACCCTCTGGGGGTCACAATTTTCATCTGATTTTGATGAAACTGGAAATGCATGTTTATAACCCACAGATCCCGGTTCCTTGATATATTTGCGCATATCGGACCATAACGTCCTGAATTATGGCCCCTGATTGTATGCAAAATCGTGTGTTTTTAGCTAATGGACCCCGTAGAGGTCACAATTTGTATTCGATTTAAAAAAAAAACGTTACAATATATCACCGTATACCTTAAGGATGATTGAGTTCGAATTTCGTAAAAATCGGACCGAAACTGACGGATAAAATGGCCGCCCCTCATTCGCAAATAGTGTCAAAATATTGTGTATCAGGGTTGTGGACCCTCTGGCAGTCACAATTTTCATCTGATTTTGATGAAACTTGAATTGCATGTTTATAACCCACAGATCTCGGTTCCTTTTTATATTTGCGCATATCGGACCATAACTTACTGAATTATGGCCCCTGAGTGTACGAAAAATCGTGTTTTTAGCTTGTGGCCCCCGTAGAGGTCACAATTTTTATCCGATATAAAAAACCGTTACATAAGAACATAAACAAAAATAAGTTCTTGTATATCAGAATGTCACTTTTAAAACATGGTGTTAAAAATCAGTTAAAACAGGAGGTCCAGTTGATTGATGTTTGGATGAACAAAAACCCGTGTGGAAAAAGAATCCGCTTGCTTTATGTGAAAAAGCGACGTTCTCGCGGTAAAATTAACATAGTTGGACCCGTGGATTATTTCCATATAGTTAATCAATTACATACCCTGGGCAGACTTAAATCCGCAAGCGCAGATTAGTAAACGGAAATTAGACAGATTCGCGGATGCACGGGGCTAATCTGACCGCGAGGTGAACCCTTAGTCCAACATATATATGTAAATCTTTATCTTCGTTTTTGAAGAGTTCACGTGTTTCATATTGCTGAAAGGTTCCCAGAGCGCATCATACAACTGACCCGACATTGTCACGTTTCAGATTAAAACGCAGAATTATTGTATTTGCTTCCACGATAAAGATGCGTTAAATGTGTGAACGCTAAAGGACCTGAACGATATCAAATCGTCTGCAAGATAAGGGCCACTTTGACCTTTTGAAGTCATGTCTGAAAGATGCAAGATAAAGATAAAGAGCTACTCGCCCTTACTATCATAGTTTACAAATAGATGATGTAAAAGGAATGTATTGAAGATTTCAGTCAAATTACTTCATTCTGAGGGAAGTTATGACTGATTGAAGAAGAGCGTAGTCTCGATTTTGATTGCTACCGTTGTGACGAAAGTAAGCACTGTCTCGATTGTCCAAATAAAAAATATTAAATGGCTACCGTGTTTCAATCCGTTCAAAACCATAACCATCCGATGGTGTATAATTAATAGTTTACATAACACTTGAAGACAAAAGAAAGTTCTGCAATAGGACGATTTAGATCTCACATAATGCATGTTAAAGGGGCGAGGGGGGGGGGGGGGTCAATGAACCTGACATGTAATCGTCTGCTAGATAAGAATCCTTTAAAGTTCGGCTCAATACTCAATACAACGAAATGTGCTTAAGCCTTCACTGATGTAACGAAATAATGGAATCTTTCGTGTAGATATTGGTGTTCATGAAGAAGAATGCCTATGAAATCTAATGCGAATAGGCGGAAACGCTGCTGCTCAAATGCATTTCAACTACCGTTCGTTACAGTAAAAGAATTCAAACCGATTTGTCTTATAATGAAGGATGGGTTTTCGTGAACGAGACATTAAAGCCCATTTCATTGTATCTATTTTATCCTAAATGAAGTGTTAATATGTTATATATAACATATATTATCGAGAGATAAGTATCATTATTTGCCAATTAAAGGTCGGTCTGATTTGTGTATCCGACTTTGCTTCTATATTTATTTCTCCATGTCAATTTGTTCTGCAGGACGAATTATTCCCCATCAATGCTCTGCGCCTCCTAATGGTACTGGTATAACAATAGCTGAAGTAGAATTATCATCCAGTAATTATACAGTGGAATACGGACAATGTAATATTTATATTAAATACAATACCACTTCTTCCATCAATACAGAACACAAACTACCATGTATATATGGTATGACCTACACAGAGAGAAAAGATGCATCAATCGTTTCAGAGGTAATTTTATACAGAAAAAAATAGGATCGGTTCTAATGGCACAAATAAACATACTACAACATTTATCATACCAAGTACCACTGTACTACGGATAAGAGACTACATATGATAGCACACACTGATCCGCAGTGAATGTTCGCTAGGCCGCGACAACACCCTGCACGTTTCAAGTCAGTAGCTTGAAGCGTATATATGGTATTAGTGTCAGTGGCTTGTGGCACGAAGTAACAGTATATTGTCGCATACATAATATATTATGTCAACGCTTGGGCGACATAATATATTGTGTTGACGCTCCAAGCGTGTTAGCATATTAGACCTGTAGACTCAGTGGAATGTACGCGTCATCAGAGCCATAGAAAGTGTCCCTGTAAATAAAAGAGGGCATCCTTATCAGAAAAAGGGCACCTGTGATGTCAGAATTTCAAAAAAGGGCACTTTTCTTTCGGATTAGGGTTAGGGTTAGGGTTAGGACACAGAAAAGAGAGAAAAAACAGAAAAGAAAAAAACAAGCATTCATTGGTTATCAAAGCGCCAATTAAATCTATCGTTGCAAGTTCATGCCTAGTCACCTCCATCCTAGTTCCAAGCGTTGACATAATATATTATATCGCCCAAGCGTTGACATAATATATTATGTATGCGACAATATACTGTTACTTCGTGCCACAGGCCACTGACACTAATACCATATATACGCTTCAAGCTACTGACTTGAAACGTATCGCCTGGCGACAATCACTGATAAGGATGACATCGATGCGACTTAATGAGTCACAAATTTTAACGATGCGACTTAATGAGCACAAATATTAACGGTGGTTAAGACGCTGGCTCGCTAGCCTGGAGGTCGGGTGTTCGATCCCTGCATTGGCCGAGAAAGTTCATCAGGATTTTCCGACGTGGTTTACACTTGTCAGTGGTCCTTCGGATGAGACGAAAAACCGAGGTCCCGTGTAAATATTGGAATGCGCGTAAAAGATCCCCTGGCAGTTGGAATTCGATATAAGAGTAGGCGATAGTGCCGCTGCCCAGGCAAAATTTCCCTCATAGCACACTGTATGGCGTATGCCCGTCTTATTAGCCCAGTATAGGAGTAGGACGTTAAACTCCATTTCATTTCATTTCACAAATATTAACTTTTTTCCTCCGACAAATTAAGGGGGGTTGGATGGCTGAATGGTCATAAAGTCTGTCATTGATTAGGATTAGTTAAGATTCTATCTGTATAAAACCTGTACATATCCCAATATGGTTTATACTGCTAAAATAAAACACAGAGATAATCATCCTGGAAACATGTGTGAAGTGAAAAGTACCTGTGTTCCATAAAATTGTGTCTAGTTCGCCTGTCAGTAATATTTTGTTAATTTTTTTCTGCCACTTATCAGAGTGACTCGCATGTAGGTACCCAAAAACATAACCGCCTAAACCAAATATTTATCGCCCGCTCAGCCAGCAACGTAACCATAATGCTTTTACACGCGGTTTCTTGGTAGACAGCTAGGCCACATGGTGTTTGTTTATATTTTTTAGGGGTTTTAAAAATGGGTTAGGGTTAAGGGTTGCGGACCCCCCCCCCCCCCAATATATATATTTCACAGCTACGCCTCTGGTGATGAACCATCTTCGATCTAGCGTTCTTCGTCAATCGACGCGCGATTGTCCATGGAACAAGCATGTCAAGTCAATCATACCTGAATTGGCGGAGTCTTAGACTTTATTCGAAGATCGTAGCTTCCAAGAACAATATTAGGAACAATATGAGTAGCGCTTACAAATTGTGCCTTTGAAACGAATGTAGTAAAACAAATTCGTTTCAATTCTTTTGTAATCATCTTATTTCATGAAGAAAATATTTCGTTTTTTTTATTCTTTCGGTTGTAGTGGGAGGTCGCGTCAGACATTTGATTAACCAAATCCTTACATCATCTAGAACGCGGGTTATATACCACCTCTTCCAGATCCTTGTGTGGTAAAGACAAGTAAAACGAAATTTTGAGCTATAACAAAACGAAACGAAATAGGATCTGTGTTTTAATCAGAATGTGATTTTGTAATAATTTCAGTACGATTTCGTTTGTGTTTGCTTTTGTAACCATTTTTATCGTATGATTTTGTAATGTTTTCAGTTTGATCTTGTTTGTGAACGTGGTGCGCTCGGCGATTTACCGCAAACGCTGTTGATATTAGGGCAGGCCATGGGTGCGCTGGTTCTACCGTTTTTCTCAGATCGTTATGGACGAAAGTCAACCAATATCATCAGCCATGTTGGTGTCATGGTGATCGGCGTTGCTACAGCTTTCTCTAACAGTTATATAACGTTTGCCATACTTAGACTGTTAATGGGAATAGTACAACAGGTATGTATTCAAACACACGAACCTCCAAAAGTGGCACGACCCTAGCTACTGGTGTTTTTTGGGGGAATTGCCGAAACGATATATTTATATATATATGTTTGTCGTAAGCAAATTTAAATGAGAGGCGGGGTGTAACGTCCACTCAACACAAACTAGGTCATTTCGGAACTAGAATATTGTTCAATTGTATTTCAATAATAGGGGTCTTTAGCTGTGGGAGCAAACCGGAAGACCCGGAGAAAACCGACGAGGTTGGAACACATTTATAGTTGTCAAGGCAGTTATATTTATAACGTTTGTTATACTTCGATTAACATTTTGAGAAGATGTAAACCCAATTGTTACAGGAGATAATTTTGTAAAGAAGAGTATCCTACAATATTTTGCTAATGTTATGTAATTAGTATCGGACCGTATTTTGTTTTACATGTGCTATTAACACCATATCCCGCAGAAGTGTCATCTGATAGTATGCCACTAATGCTTCAGAAGTGTTATCTGTGTATTACAGGGGATGGTATATACTAGTATTTACATATGAAGAGTCCAGGGGAAGAACGATCTAAGTCACTTTTTTGTCTTTTCGCATAAAAGGCAAAACAGACTGTTGGACGAGAATGTTTGACGCGAACAGAACAACAAGTGGGTTTAATTACAACTTCAAAATGATGTTTAATACGAATCATAATTACCAGTAATTTCAGGCAAATTAAGGTTAAATAAAAGGGTACGATGGGCTTGTATTTATCCAGGAGGCCATTTTAGAACGGCCTTGGTTCGATGTGACTCCGATCGTTTTTACCTGAAATAGATTATTCCACAGAAAGCTTATAATGGTGCCATTAACTGGGGTTCGTTGAAAAAGTGACTAAGATCGTTCTTCCCTGGGGCTCTTCATATGCTACAGAAGTGTTATTTGACTAGTATATTTTGTTTTATAGGGGATAGTATTGACCATGGCTACATACGCTATAGAAGTGTACCCGACGGTATATAGAAGATATGTCGGAGTTATCGGCACCTTTCTATGGGGGATCTGTGTTATCGCCCTGACCCCGTTTGGCTATTTTCTTCGGATGGAAAGTTGGCGAACCCAACAACTGGCTTTCTGCTCCGTTTCACTCTACGTCATTATCCAAATCATGTAAGTTGAAATGATCGACTTAAAAGTTTTTTATTGCGACATCTGTAATGTTACTGTTGAAAAGTTTGATTCAAAATGGGCCATACGGTAAATGCAATCACTTAAAAAAATGCTACTAAAATATGCAGTTACAAAATCGAGATATTGACATAACAGATTGTCAAGTGGTCTCAGATGTACATGTTAACTTGGTAACCAGGTGACCCGTAAACTTCTTCGGGATTGTCCAGCACGGCTACCCTGACAGTCGTGCAGCATATATTGTCTGACAAGGGGGAGAGAGATGGGGTTTAAAGTTCCCTCGACACATACTAGGCCATTTCGGGACTAACATATGGTAGGGTGACCCACCATAAATAAATATCTCCATATATCTCGACAATTACGCCACAATATTTATATATATGCCAAGCCTCAAATCAGTTTCACACAATTATAGTCACTAAATAAACGATCATGTTGTACTTAATAAGCTATGACCATTAATCATCTATAAATAATAGACTGAAAACTGGTTCCAAGAGTCGTCCATAACATCCAGACACTTTTGAGTAAAAGATAGGTTACGTGCCCTTGTTTTGAAATTAGTCTCGCTTAACCAGTCTATCGACCATTCTACGTCTGATTGACAGGTCGGGATAATCAAGACTACTTTTTTACGAAACGTAACAGAAAGCTAGAACAAGAAATTGAATTTAGAAATAAGCACGTTAGGTAGCTCAACAATCGTTTTAAGAAGCTTGTAAAAGTAAAATGAAACTACTGCTAGTATCATGTTCCTGCCTAACCCGAGTGATTCAGAGATATTATTTGTACTAAACCAAAAGATGCCGCTCTTAACGGTACAGTTAATGATAAAGCGATTTAAAAAATGAAACGAACGTAATTTCTAAATCTGCTGTAATAACCAAGAAGCTTAATTTAACTGCTATAATAGTTGATAGATTTGTAGAGAATTGCACGTGCCATGGCTATTTATAGTATCATACTGTCAGAAAGTTGGTCTCGGCACGGCGAATGTGCACGCTTCAGTGGTAGTCTCGAACTATCAGCGGTGGACTGTATTTCTGTGAGTACATGGATCACCCTACATATGGTTCAATTTTATTTCAATAATTCGTTTGCGCGTAGGGGTCATTAGCAGTGTCTGACAACGACAACGCCGATCTTACACTAATCAGAGCCCTTATTCACGAAATCTTAAAACTAAGTTACAACCGAAATTTGTAAGAAATACTGCAACTTCATTGGATATATGTAAATTGGTTTTACTGGTCAGCCAATCGAATTGCAGTATTTCTCAAAATTTCGATTGTATCTTAGTTTAAGTTTTCGTGAATGATTCGACCCTAGCGTTCCTCAGGGTTTTAAAAACTGTCTACCATGTCAGTGATGCAGTACGGGGGACTGACGGGGAAAAGCGTTCAGTTTGGACGACAGCTAATCAGTACCTATTTAATACTGTTGCAGCTTTCTAGATGAGTCGTTCAGGTGGTTGATAGCAAATGGAAAATATGACATCGCTCTCAAGAATATAAAGAAGGCGGCTAAATGGAATAAGGTAATATATATAACAAAAGTGAATCCTTGCCTTAACATTATAATGGATAGTGTCCAAATATGAAGTTCGCGAAAAGTATTATATTATAGAATCATATAAACATATTCTCATTCAATACCCAATTGCCTAGAAAGCCGGTTTTCTATGAATGCGACATACGTATGTAGTGTTTATATGACATATCACTCCATATTCATGTTAGGAAAATAATGGCTTCTTAGTTCAGTTTTAAGAATAATAATTCTTAACAAGAATAACTGTCAGGATAACTTTTGAACTTATGTATCAGTATCACAATTGGTGCCCCCCTCCCTCTCTCTCTCTCTCTCTCTCTCTCTCTCTCTTAGGTATTTAGGCGAATAAGAGGAGTGGGGCAAAGTGGTTCACCAACCCACCCCCGCCTCACTCCTCCCCATGGTCATGTAGTAGGAACTACTATGTTTACTAGCGGTGGTCAACAAGACGCGATGGCGCTATTTGGGTACTTATGACCGGACACAGATAAAAAAGTGTTTATTGACAAATTAATTCATGCTAATATTTCAGAATACATAGAACCGGATAAAACAAATTATTGCCACATTTAACTATATTTGTTTTTACTGTGTGTTTCAGATTGATGTCAATATGGTTGTAGAAAAATTTAACGAGCTGATAGGAAGGCAAACTGTAATTATTCCCGAGCCGGAGAAGGGGGACCAACTTCTTTTAAACGAGGATGAAACGAAGCCAATTGAGAAAATCGAGAAATATAGTTTATTAGATATTTTGAAGAGAAAGAAATTGGCGCTAAATACAGTTATACTGTGGTATCTATGGTTAGTATTCATTTGTATATTTTCTTTACTAATCAAATTCAACGGAAGAGAAGATGGGGACCTGCATAACCCAGCTGACACAATACGCTATGATTTCTCTTTCGGGATAAAAACCCCCAAAACATTCATGGATGCATGTCCTCGCTAATAGTCCGGCAGCAGGTCGAGAAACCAGGATATTGTCGTCCACCTAATGTTGTTGATGGATGATATATCTTCAATGTGTGCAGTAGAATCGGGATGATGACACCGTGGCATCCATGGGGAAATTTAAATATTCAAGATGCCGCTATTGGGCATTTTCGGGTTATTTAATTGGGAAAGAATTCGACCTGCTGAACGCGTGGGTACCCCTTCCAAAAGTGATGGCGAAAATTCCGCTAGGGACCGAAATTCAAAACTGACGGAAAAATCATACAATTCCCTATATGTGTAATATACTGAAATATAGCTTTTGGGTGCCGCGTAATTCAAATATGAACATGCCAATATGTTCCCGACTAAGCCGTAGACTATATTTTCATGTCAAGGCTGAAACGAGTTCGACTGCCGGACTATAACGCGCTAATTGGTTTTCGGGGGCAAGGACAATCACTCGCGAAAACATGCTCATTTTCAATAGGGTTCATCCCAAGATGATATGATTAAATCTATCAACATTTGACAAAATCCATTAATAACTGCCCCCAAATACGTCTACAAGGTTTTCATGGCAATGTTAATAATTCCGTAAATGGAACTGTTCTTCTAGTCCTCAAGACCCCACGGTTCAATGTGCGAGTGTCACAATCGTTCACCGTTAAGTTTTATCATCACCATCCGTCGCCTGGATAACTGTCATCCCGAGGCTAGTTTGACACCATATGAATCGACATTCTGTCTATTCTACACATCGTAGATAATTGTGGAATCGAATATCAAAGACTATTGTAGACATGAACCTCATCGATATTACATCATTCCTGTTCATCAATATCTACATTCCCCAGTAGAGAGCAACGACTAATGCTAGGTTCCCACTGTCGTTCGATGCGTTACGGTAGGATTGTCCCTATTGAGTCCACGATCTTGTACGTGAAGATACGTTCGGATACGATCGACACGATTGCCACAATATATGATAGGATCATCACGATTACTCGACGATTTCAGAGCGTAACGCGAATCGTGATGGTGGGAACCTAGCATAAAGATTTATATTCCACGATAAACCCCACACGACTGCGTTTGAGCACGATACAATATACTACGATTTTCTACGATACATTAAAATATCGTATCTTACCAAAACTCGTATCACTGACATCTCTACACGCTACGACTTTTTACCTGTCAACGGCTATTATAGGTAATAGTATCGTATCATAGCAAAGATTGCCTTGTGTGAGGCGGGCTTTATAATACTAGAGTAATTTTAACAGAAAATTGTAAGCTGTGGAATAATTGGTTTTTGTTTCAGGTGTACGGCTGCTTTATCATATTTTGGTTTGTTTTTTACGTCGTCTTCCCTGGCTGGCGATAAATATCTCAACTTCTTCCTGAATGCGTTAATGGAATTCCCACCGGGTCTTATATTCCTTTTGATTATTGATAGGTAGGTATTAATAACAATACATGGGAATAGATATAGGTATTAACAGAGGTGGGAACATGTAGCGGGACCTCGAGTCTGAGTCGAGTCCTAAGACTTCACAAATGGTTAATGGAATTCCCACCGGGTCTTATATTATTGATATATAGATATTAATATCAACATATGAATATAGAGATAGGTATTAACAGAGGTGGGAACATGTCGCGGGACCTCGAGTCTGAGTTGAGTCCTAAGTCGCCGCTCCTCGAGTCCCAAGTCTGCACAAAGCCCGAGTCGCGTCCAAGGCGCCCGTTGATCAAATGAGTCAGCAATTCATGGCGAATAAGGTAATTTAGACTTATGCCGCGATTCGAGTCCTAAGCTCTTTCAAGACGCGAGTCGAGTCGGATCATTGATGCGACTTCAGTCGGACTCCAGTCTTGAGTCGCGGGACTCGAGTTCCCAACTCTAGGTATTATTACTTCAAGGATATTATAGTCGGGGTAGGTTCGAGACAGAACCTAGCATCGCATGTCGTTGCCAATACCGGTTTGTTTGTTTTTTTTTGGGGGGGGGGGGTAGGACTTCGAATTTTGTCTAATGGTTTGGATTGTTCGTACTTGGTTTTATTTTATTGATACTGTCCCGTACACTTTGGACATGTTTGCGTGTCCTTAAAAAAATTGTCCCCATGTAAGTGGCACATTATTCTTATTAAATACGCCATTTGTTATTTCACCCAATGGCTAGATTCGGCTTCCTGTTTCATTTGTTCGTGATTAATATTTGAAGGTTAGTTCCATTTCTCTAAGCTATGTGGTTAGGACCAGAATGTTCCCGACTTAAATACCAGCGCGGGATCTGTCTACCCGTTCCCACTTAACACGCGCTTAGGACAGGATACACATTCCTTAACAGCAAACGTTGCAATAATCATCATATCGTATATTACGATTATGGGGTTCAAATTTAATTCCCTTTCCCTATAGATATGGTAGAAAGAAAACTCTAGCAACATTTTATGCTTTATGTGGGACTGGTATGATTCTGGCTACAATTATCCGAGTTACATCTGGTAAGCTTTTTATATTACGATTGATCAAGTTAGTATTCTATGTCAGTTATCAAAGTTGCACACTATCTAAGGATTAATATTATCGTTAAAGAAACTTTTTGGAGTTTTGGAGAGAGAGAGAGGGGGGGGGGGGAATACAGATGGATTCGGGCTATTTGACTTCTTATGGTCCAATGCAGCATCTATCTGTACCACTGCAACAGTTACCATTTTTTGCATTATTTTTACAGATAGCTATGCAGCATCTATATGTATAACTATTTTATCTTTGGTTGGTAAACTTGGAGCCGGTGGTGCTTTTTGTACCTGTTTCTTCTACACCCCTGAAATATTCCCCACCAATTTAAGGTTAGTACGAGTACGGTGTTTACCCTTGTACGAGCTATTGAAATCTTCATAGACAGCACACCCAAACGAAGCAATGTAATTCTTTATGTCTTTAAGTTCATTAAATAGCCATATATATTTAGAGAATAGATAGAACACCAACATATACCTGATAACCGGAACACCAGTAATCCCGACTATTACACACAGGTGTGGTCATAGTAAATAATACCTTTAGAGAAATTGGCTTCTAACTGTCCCCTAATTTGGATTTCGTTCCCAAAGAAGCTACTTGATCATCTCATCCAATTAGAAACTTTCATCACCAACAATTAGTTCGATATGGAAATTCTTGGTCATTCGGTGACAACAGTGGTTATATCGTAACCGGTTGGGAATCAACACCTAAGATTCTTATACCCCCCTCTCTTTTATATCACAGGAAGCTCGATTGCAATCGCAGCGTGTATGTAGGAGCGTTCATTTGTACGATTGTCTGCGATATGCTATTTGAAGATTACCTGTGGCAGGATCGTATGATAAGCCGACTTTAGACGACTCAGCCGCCCGTACTATCGATATTTAATAGAAAATGTTCGGTGTAAAATTGATAAAACAGTTATAACTTTATATTTTCCCAGGAATGTTGGACTGGGGTCAGCGTCCATAGCGGCTCGAGTTGGTGGAATGTTGGGGCCATTCTCAAGGGTTTTAGCTCAACATATATCATGGGGCCCAGGAGCTATATTCGGTGGCTGTTGTCTGCTTGCCACTCTCTTGGTCACCATTTTACCGGAAACTAGAGGGAAAGAACTCCCACAGACTATGGCGGACGTGAAGCTTCTGTATAAGAAGGTACCGGATGGCTCGATATTAAAACTGAAGGATGGAAAGACAAAGATATATCAATCATGATTTTAGATCGTAGATAAAAGAATAAAAGCAATGGCTCAAATTTCTAAAAATAAATATTTAAACAATTAAAGTGTTCTGTTATATTTATTAATAATGAGGCAAGCTCTTTATAGTTGTATTTGCCTTTCGAAAGAGGCAGAAGCTAGTTTCGCTTATCACTCAAAATCAACAGTCAAAGCAACACATCCAAACAATCCTAAACGTAGGAAAGGAGTTTTGAAAAGAAAGATTAAATCCCATCACTAAACGAAATAACACAATATAATACCTTTTGTTATATTAAATCAGAGATGGGTCGCGATTGTTAAGCGGTAATGGCACGGGAATCTTCATTACAGTGTTCCTGGATGGTATAATGGCGTGGATCGTGAAGAAACTTGGAATTTTGCAAGAACCAATAGACCAACAAAGATCTACAATAACTTAAGCTATAAGAAAAGGTCATGCAATTGCCACTTGTCAGTAATCAGTGGTACTGTATATACAGTACATTAGAGGTTATCTTTTCTTGACACGAGTTTGAAAACACACTAGTAAAATGAGACCATGTCCATCTCTACAAAAATTCAATTATTCTAAGTCTTCTACACTTCTAGAAGAAACCATCCTTCGCGAGGTAACTATTTGCTAAAGTTCCCAAGAGAAAGTAATGTCTCCAAAACAAACAGAATGCAGATATAACTTTTTTCTTGCAAGGTGCCAATCTTCTGCAATAACCAGGGTATAGAAATCCATATCCCATCTGAGTTCTGTCAGCCACCACCGGATGCATCAGAACATCCTGTACCATTGTCTTCTTGACCCACCCCCAACCCCACAATTCTGTTAAAATCATTGGAGCCATGGTGAAACTGAACGTTATTTTATGTGCAAGCCAATGTGTACCACTTCTGTCGAACCGCTTTGAAAATGCTTCAGGCGTTTTTCTTTGCGTGTGTCGTGTGCTCTGTTTTTGATGTGTATAATATTTATATTTGTCTGTGATAATTATTTGAAACAAAATAGGATTATCATAAAGTATATTTAACATCTACAATATAAGTACGGCAAGCACTCTCTACATACTGCGTTTGTAAACCACGAAATTCACCCTTATTAGAAAGTTTTAACTATTGCATTTAAACGTTAAAAAAATCAGCCGAAAAGGTAACTGATAAATACAAACAATCTCTCTCTCTCTCTCTCTCTCCCGGGGTTGCTACAAATGTTAAATTCAGTCGTTAATTGTACGTACGTAAAAAAACCCGAAGAATCCCGAATGCGGACGTTAGGAATTCGTTTTCAGAGCAAAATCACATAGACTGCTACAAAAGCAGTGAAAAACGATATGTATATTGAAGTTTCTGTATTTGCTAACAAAAGCGCTTTCAGGATACTATCCCTTACACGTGCACGCGCAATCACGGTAGTGGGTAATTGAAATGTAAACTTAGATCGCTTGAAGTACTCTGGTCATGACTTTATAAAATCTGCTTATAAAGAAGGTCACAGCACAGATACAGCACTCTTGATGGTAAAAGCTGATATTGATGCAGCATTGGGCATCAACCTTGGCATCAACCTTATACTTCTAGATCTAAGTGCGACAGTTGATACCATCGACCATAGCATTCTGTTCAATCGACTCCAGTTAACTGTGTTAATCAAAGGATCGGTGCTGGATTGGTTGAAGTCTTATCTAACTGACCAAAGCCAATGTGTCAATATTCATAGCAGCAACTCTGTATGTAAACTGCTGTCCATTGGGGTCCCACAGGGATCGGTCGTAGGTCCATTTCTTTTCTTACTGTATGTACTTCCACTTGGTAAAATTATCCATAGACATGGTATAAGCTATCATAGTTTTGCCGATGATACGCAATTGCATAACATATTCATTCCTTCTGACCAAATGTCAATACACGGTGCCCTAAAGAAGCTAGAATCTTGTATCAGTGATATTCGGACATGGATGAATCAAAACTTAAAGCTGAACGATGAAAAGACAGAATTCCTGATGATATTGCCAAGATCAAAACTGGAAAGCTTCAACAACTTTTTACCAAAGCACGAAATCATGGTTTTATCATGGACAAAGACAATGTCTCTCATCCCACAGGTTAACAATATTATGTGTAAAATGTACATGGGATTAAAACCAATATCCAGAATCAGGAGGTATCTTACTAACGATTCATGTGGTAGAGTTGTATTAGTCATATCTCAGTTGGACTATGGAAATGGACTCCTGGCTGGCATTCCAGATTTCTCCCTCAACTGTCTTCCAAGTTGCACAAAATAACTGTGCTCGACTATCTGCCAAGTCATCTTCTAGAGATCATTTAACAGAAACTCTCAAAAGTCTTCATTGGCTGCCTGTGATAGCCCGGAACGACTTTAAAGTGCTATCAAATGTGTATAAAGATTTTTTTCGGATACTGCTCCCTCCTACATGAAACAATTATTTACATTCTACAAATATGAAAGACCGAATCTTCCTTCGTCCACAGATACTACATTATTATCTGTGCCTGCTTACAAGAGACTCAGAGGAAAATTATCCTTCCCTATAAATGGTGCCCATATGTGGAGTAAGCTACCAAGAACAATTAGAGAAAGTTCAACTTTTGTTAATATAAATCAGAGTTAAAAACACACTTGTTTAAATATGATTACAAACTGTGACGTGAAATTTCTTAAGCGCTCTGAAATATCACCGGATATAATGAAGCGCTATAGAAGATGAATAATAATAATAATAAGTTGATACTGGTTAACTATTACCTGAAAGGAGCTCAATCGCTAATATTTGGGACCTAGAAATTGACCCAAATGGGTCGCAACGCATATAATAATGTAATATAATTGTATATAAACTGTTTAACATTCATTTGTTTCCGTTTGGACTCAGTTATGTCCAGCGAAATACGACATGAGTCTCAGCCGAATAGCAATTTCTAGTGTCTGGTTATTCCAGTCTATTGCGCATGCTCTCCAGATAAGATATGGCGTTACCATTTGACATGAGTTGTGGAATATGTCTAGCCTCGTTCTTTCTGGTCACTTGCTACAAACGACGCTGAAACGCACTATGGTACACGATTCGTGTGTCAATGGTAAAATGGTTATTTTGTCTTAAATATTGGATATCAGAAGCCTACCTTTTCCTGGTAAGATCACAACATCAATGTTGATTTGAATTGACAAATAATTCGTATTTCAACGTGTAAGACTTTGGACGATATTGAGTTAAGAGACTTGGCTACTTTAAAGGTTGCACCTCACAAATAGTCTCGACCTTGTATAGCGGATACCGTCTCGATTGCAGTGAACACATATTTGTTCAGGTTCACAGTTGATTTATGAGATAGGTTAACAATGCATTCTACATATGATAATGAAATGAAATGAGGTTTAACATCCTACTGTTCTGCTCCTAAACTGGGCTAATGAAGACGGGCATACGCCATACAGTGTGCTATGAGGTAAATGTTGCCCGGGCAGCGGCGCTACGGCCTACTCTCATATTGAATTCCAACTTCCAAGGGATCTTTTACGTGCACGCCAATGTGTACACGGGACCTCGGTTTTTTGTCCCATCCGAAGGACTAGACAGCTGTGCTTGTCAGGCCCTACATATGATAATGTAAGGTGAAGAAAAAAATTTCCCCCTCAGCTAATCGCCAGAGATATACGATAATCCCCGTATTACCTTTGAGGCTGTTTACAGATTAATGCTATTTTTCTATGCTAATATTCGGTGCTACTCTGGATTTGTCTATACTGCAACATACACGTTGTGAAAATCAAGCTTTGTCTGTCGGTGTAGGTGGAACTCAGCTGTCCGGAGGGTTGACGGGCCATGCTAAACTATCCCGGTAACTTTCCTCAGCCAACACCTGAATCGAACCAGGAACCTTCTAGTTAGTTGGCCAGCGCATTGCTCGGTTAATATGGCTACCACGAATATCCAAGAGGTTGCAATCTAAATTTAGCCGAGAAGTTGACGAGAAAATTCAGGACTGTCATTTTTTTTAACAGCGAGGAAATTGAGGAAAGGACCTTCAAATTCGCCAACTCTAAAAATCCAGATTTTACGCCATATGTTAATTTATTGTTTGATTCGCGAATCAACCTCAATAGGTGGTCAGTACTATTAGGTCAGTCAGTAGAATGATGCTGTGACCGAAACATGTCGTACTTAAGGTGTACATGGATTTCAGACTTGAACAGCGAAGCTGTTAGCAAAAAGCCTAATATCTTATTGTGGCTAAGTTTCTCCGCCTCCCGCCCCCGCGGCATAGTCTAATATACTATTCAAAAAAAGTAGGGGATATTTGATTTTTAAGTGTTATTAAAGTCACCTAATGAAACTGACGAAGAAACAAATGACAAAATGAAATGAAGTTCACATTCATCGATTTATTCCAAATGATCGTTAGACTAAGTAAGGCACAGACTGACCATTATAAGGGTAAAATGATACCCGGGGTCAAACAGCAAAGTTACCACAGCATCACAACCAAGTCAGTAACGGGTAAATCCTCCTCTGTTTGCCAAACAAGCATTGATCCGACGTGGCATACTCCTAATGAGACGTCTAAGGTCATTTTGGTCCAGATTGTCCCATTCCTGTTGCAACGCAGCAGCAAGTTCTTGGACATTGGCAGGACGTTGTTGACGTTGACGTAACCTCTGTCCAAGCATGTCCCAGACATGCTCGATGGGGGAGAGGTCGGGACTCAGTGCTGGCCAAGGTAATGTGGTGATGTTCTGTTGTTGGAGGTAACCTGTAACGATCCTGGCCGTGTGACATCTTGCGTTGTCATCCTGAAAGATGAAACGGCGGCCATGACGTCGTGTGAACGGCACAACATGGACTGCCAAGATGTTGTCCCGGTAGTACTGGCCTGTAACACGCCCTGCAACAACATGTAAAGCCGTTCTTCCAGCAACAGTGATGCCTCCCCACACCATAACAGAACCACCCCCAAATCGATCATGTCTGATGACGTTAACGTCTTGGAAGCGCTCGTTTCGACGACGCCAC